GTTGCTGCACAGTTACATTAAACCATACATTTATAAAAACATTAGCAGGTGTTCAAAAGGCCCTGTCTATGACATCACTTGCTGCTGCAGCTTGACACAGGTCAGAGTATTTTGGTGGTTGCCATCTTCAAACGGTCATATTTTAAAAACTATAAATCCTACAGCGAAGAGCTTTATATTGTGAGAATCACAAGACCCAGACCTACATTAAGTGGTTAACCCCTAAAACACCAAATGTTAATAGTGCAGCGCTGTAAAAAGGATAAAGTATAGCATAAACTCTCCCTTCAATAGTCAGGATGGGTTAAGTGATACATAAAAAAGAAAACAGAAATATATAGTGTGAATCTGTTACATAATAGGTGAAATATAATGGTGAGGGTTAGTGGTAATAAACTCACATGGTAAAGAGCCTTTTGAATATAGGCTCTAAACTTTGAAGCTGGTATGCCTTAGGGTGACATACAACCACTCTTGTTCTTCTGAATATGCAGATATATTTGTCTCCATATGGTATATATAACAGGGAGATAAAAGATGAAGAGAGGTCTCCTAAGTGCAGTGTGTTAAAGGATATTAAAAACTAAAACACACATATAAGAACACTCACCTGGTAAGGAGCCCTCCAAACTGGCTCTGAGATGAATCACTTCAGTGTCTATTATGGGTGACACTTCCCCGTGATACCCGGTATGAGGAGTCTGGATCCAATTGTAAAGTGCACACAGTGCTCTTTATTTGATAAAATCTAATTTAAAATTATAATATGGAAAATTGTTATAAAATAAACAAAAATATAAATACACAGTATGTGGCGCCATGAAATTTTGGATACTTGCGATACATCACTTCAGGGTTGTATTAGGAACTACAGAGCCCATAATGCTCAGCGCTGATATGTTCCGTCCCCGGTATAGTCATTTTTTTTGGGAAGTCCATTCATAGAAATACAGACAAAGAAATAATATACCGGTAAATATAATCAATCAATGGCAAACACACATATATATATATATATATATATATATATATATAAAGACATTAAGAAATCTCTCTACTGTGGCAAATGTGACATAGAAGTCTATAAGAGGTAATGCAATTAATTCAATATAATAATATATACCTACTGTAACTTTTGAATAAAATATTGGTATTTGTAAATATTATTGACCTAAAGTGAAAATGCCAGAATTTAATTAAAAGGATTGGTTGAAAAAAAGCTGTGTTTAAAAAACTGATTTAAAATACTATGCCTAGAAATAAAAAGTTAATTAAAACTGTATATTGGGTCAAAAAGTTGGAAAATATTAAACTCTTGGTAAATAGAATTAAGTATAGTTGAGAGATAGATAATCATAAAAAGTGGCACAATCCATCACATATCTGATATTCTTCAGATATGTTCTCTCTGTAATGGCACAAGTGAGCAAAAACTATTTTGAGACCTGAGCGGGGATGTACCGCAGGGCAAGCTATTGCCCATTGCTCTAAACTTTTGCCCATTCTCAGAGTTCTCATTCTTTCTTTTCTGCTTAAATGAAACTATTTATTTTAGCTTTTTTGCACCAATAGGGAGAGGACATGCTTACAATTACAGTCAGGAACTCTATAGGGTTTAGAATACAGATTTGTAAGAAAACCTGTGTAAGAGCAGCAGATATGCTGACACTTTCCTAACAGAATTTATAATAAAAATAAAAAATTCTAAAAAGAATTACTCAAAAGTGACTTTTAATTTTTTTAATGATATTAAAACAAAATGGATCAATTCAGGGTTTTATAACAATGCTTAAATTATCTGAAGCACATAACTTCTAAATTCAATTGCATGAAAGAAAGGTCACAGTCATTGCTGCTAACTTGTATATCTCATTTTTCTAGTTGCATTTAATTTAATTTGTTAGTCCGTTTGATCTGTGAAAGATGTTATATATTATTTTGTCTCGTGATTTCTACTGGATGAGAGTCAGACAAAAAACACATGACAACCAAGAAATGTATGGAGTGATTTAAGTGACAAAAATAAATGGTAAAAATAATGTATTTTGGTGGTAAATGTTTGCATTTTTAAAAAAATATATTTTTTAAAAATCATGCACATAATTTTCATAAAGTGATTTATTACAGAAGCAGTCATAAGGATTGTAATGAAAGACTGGTTGATGTTTTTAAGAAAAATGTGGAAGCCAAACTTAATTACGTATAACATACTTTACAGCTAATACATGTTTCTATCTAAAATAGAACCACTAAATAAAATGAATCCATTACGGATAGGTAAGAAAGTTAATTCAGCTTCATCTGCTTCTTTTACTGAAGTTAGAATGAGTATGTATCACATCAGCAATGGTTGGAGTAATATCTATTATTAGAGATAATATTCACTAGCTAATGTTCTACAGATTAGCAACATCACATAATTTAATAAGGAATGAAACAACAGAATGAATATTTTTATTGGTGGTTAGTGTCAGGCTTAACCATATTCTTGATGCAGGCTCTATAGAGTCGAGCAGGGCCACTAATGTCTATCATAGGCGTGCGCAGCCTATTGCATTAGGGTGTGCACCCTAAAGCACAAGCACACGCTGTGTATATATGTATATATGTATGTATGTATATACACATATATATATATATATTTATTTATATATATATA